AATATATAACGGGACATGAAAAAAATATATCGATATATAAATGTAAAATAACACCCGTGTAGATGCAGAAGTCCAACTCTAATAAAGTTTGGTGTAATTTAAAATATGGGAAATTGGGCTCAATAGTGTTCAAACACTATATAATTCATCCTGTAACCAAAAGCCCTACTTCACCGATTCACCGTGTATATTTTCTATATAATACCCATTGTGTCCTTGCAAGCAACCGGCGCTATTTGTTGGGTAAAATTAAAAAAAAAATTACCTACGGTTCTAAACGTCGTTACGCATCTCCCTTTTTTACCCAACACCTTTTTCCTCTCTAGTAACTTCTTCTCCTTCACTTTATCGGGAAGATGAACAGTTAGAACCAGAAATCAATCAATCGCCCTCTCAGAAGTCTCTCTGTAATCGAGTCGAAGATTTCGGATTCTGGAAGGGGAGAACAACGTCCTTTCTTACTCTGTCTCTATCTCGCGGTTCTGATAGCCCAATCTCGAAACATTAATCACAATTGGGTCAGATTCCTTCGCTGGCGATTTCAAGTTCAAAATCTCATCACCTTTAGTAGATCCTTAATCTTTGGTAAGCTCTGATTTTATGCATGATGTGAAGCGTTCTTATTCCAATTCTTCTGACATCTATTATTGTCCATCTCTTTTGCATGTTTCTTGTTGCGGTTGTCATTCTTCCGGAATGATACACCTATTAGAACAAAGTATATTTTCATTGTACGCGATGCCTGACCTCTATTCTATTACTCTACTAGTATATTAGAAAAATGTGTTCTTACTCTGCCTATTAGTTATACTGACTCTGTGTTATACGGTGTTTCTTGTTAAACAACTGTGATATTCTATTTGAGTTATGTTCTATCAAGATATGATTTAGTGAGTTTTTTTCTATTTCATGTTGTAGTTGTATTCTATTCTATGTTGCAGCTGTTTTCTATTCTATGTCGCACTTGGATTCTATTCATTTTCGAAGTTGGATTATGTACTATCTTGAACCCATATTCTATTCTATGTCGCATTTGGATTCTATGTTGAACCCGGGATCTATTCTATGTGGAACTTGGATTCTATTCTATGTCGAACCTGGATTCTATTCTATATTGAACCCAGATTCTATTCATGTTTATACATGTTCATGGTTTATCAGGATCGCAATGGAAGATCAGCAACTGCCAAGCAGATTGTTTGAGACTGGGTTTGAGCCAGTTGGGAGGAAAAGGGTTAATAGTTACTTCAACATTCGGTGGATAGAGCTGATCAAGCTTGCGTTGGATGAGGATGATTTGGAGATGTTGCAAGGAACACAATTTGCTACAGTGCTTCGGATGGGTGGCCATACTTTCTCTGTCATGTTTTCTCATTATTTTCTCTCCCGCCAGTTGGTAACTGAGAAGGAGTTTGAGTTATGGTGGACGTTCGCCGGAAAGCCAATCCGCTATGGCATAGAAGACTTTGCACTAGTAACTGGTCTAAACTGTGAAGAACTTCCTGCTTCTTCTATGTCTTGGAAAGAGAAAGTAGTTGTTATAGTGAAAGTAAATTCCAAAGGAAAAGGGACAACATCAAATTCGTCCATATGGGAATCTTTGTTTGATGGAGAAGATAGACCGACCCCTAACTGGATAATGGATAGGCTAGTATTGGGGAAAAAATACAAGGATTCGGTGAGGGTTCCAAACCATGGGTTTTGGGTTTAGTGTTTATGCTAGGGGTTTGGGTAATGAGTGAGTGTATGTGATATTGTAGAATGGAAGGCAGACATCTATTCTATTTGTGTTTGAGTTTAGAGACCATATCTTTAGTTTTAGTATTTATGTTTGGGTTCATGGTTTATTACTAATTGTTTTTGTTACTCATATTTGTATTCACAAGTCAATGTTATAGTAGTTTGAAATAGTATAGATGCCATACACGATGTTTATTCCTTTGACTATTTTAGTGTATTTAGCGGTGTATGTTTGGGTTTGGGTTTAGAGAACATGGTTTAGGTTTAGTTTTAATGTTTGAGTCAGGGTTTATTACTAAATGTTTCTGTTACACAAGTACACATACTATTATTTCTACGAGTACTATTCTATGTATTTGCTTATCTTAGAAGTTAGAGTAATACATTATATTTGGGTTTATATGTCCATGCTTAGGGTTTAGATGTTTGCTAATCTCCCGCTTTGTTTAGGTCTGAGTCATGACACAGTTTAATTTGCATGATTATTCTATTTCAACTATTCTATTTTCGCATACGAGCTATTTCAAAGTGTTTTAATTACCTTACATTGCAAGTACTATACAAGTTAAAACGTAAAATATAGTATTATTTATACAAATGGTATTCTATGTATTTGCACAACTGCATTGCAAAGTATAAACAATACACATTCTATTTGGACTATACATTTATACGTCATACTATATTAGCTAAAACGTACACTCACTATTATTTGTACGAGTTCTATCTATGTATTTGCTTATCTTAGAGGTTAGAGTAAATACATTATATTTGGGTTTATATGTTCGTGCTTAGGGTTTAGATGTTTGCTAATCTCCCTCTTTGTTTAGGTCAGAGTTGTGACACATTTTAACTTGCCCAACTATTCTATTCTGCATTATATTCGACTATTCTATTTTGCCATACGAACTATTTCAAAGTGTTTTAATTTCCTTACATTGCAAGTACTATACAAGTTAAAACGTAAATATACTATTACTTCTTTGGGTGATATTCTATGTATTTGCTACGTATTTTCTATAACGTACTACATTGTTTCCAACTTTCCATACGATGCCATACTCTGTATATTCTTCTCACATTTACGTCTTTCAATGAAAATGTATGCCACTTATGTTATATCATCCAACTAACCAATTTTTGTTTTGGTTTGACTATTAGCAGGTTTGCATGGACAAATTAGGCATTCCGGTCAGATTTTTTGAAACTGATTTGAACCAACGGGAAGAAAACGGGTGAGTAACTATTTTGTAAAGGGGAGAAAACGGGTTAGTAACTATTTTAGCCTACTTGGTATTGAGCTGATCAAGATGGCTTAGATGATGATCAATTGGAAATGTTGAATGATACGCAGTTTGGAAAATTGTTGAAGATGGGTTCCAATCAAGGGCAAGCTACAGCCAATACAATGGGTGTCTGATGTCAATGCATCCACTCTTTTTTTTTTTTCATTTTTCATTATTTTGTAAGGTAAAATGTAAGGAATTTTTAAGAAACTCTTGTTATTGCACCCAATGATTCTATTTATATAGTTTATGCACCCAACAAATTATTCACCTTGGTTTTTCCCTTGGTTTCCATACATTCTCTGTAATGTTTGTACATTACATTTTATCGAAACGGCTAAGCATTAATTTCTTCCAATATTCACCTTCTTTGTACTGTTTATCTTCTTTGATGTAAAATAGACTTACAGTTTTAGATAAATAGAATATACAATATATTGGAGAAGTGTTCTATTTTACTCTACACATTAACTTCACACAGTAAATTCCTTTACGGTAGAAAGTCCAGTGACGTGACCTTATTTTCTGACTGTAGGTTTGCCCATGTGTCACTAATTGTGGTCCAGAAAATAAATGGGCGATGTGGCCATCCGCTTACATTGTCACCGGTTACTTGTTCGCTATAGGGGTATAACCGGCTCGGTTAGGTGCAAAATGTTACTTTCTTCAAAATGTCAAAATCATTGACATTTACTTAATTTAGCTTGCAAAATTAGCCATTTCGCAAATTCACCCTTAAATATTAGGAAGTGCAGTTAAATGCAATGGTCTAACACTGTCTTTTTTTTGTAAGTAGACTTTTAGTGTTTTTTTTATTACCATAGATTATGTATGATTAAGTATATATTAATTTCTAATTATAAACTATAACTTTAAAATTATTATGGTATAGATTTACATTTTTTAATATAAACATAATCACGAAACTGTATATAATTATTGGATTTTTATTTTTATATATAGTTCAGGTATATAATTTTTATTAATATATAATATAGTACATAAATAAATGTGATTTTATTTTCAAATAAACTATGGGTTGATAATGATTATTATAAACCATACAAATAAATATAAATACGTTGAAACAGAAAAGAAAAATATAAATATTTTGTATCAAAATATCAATAATTTAAATCAGTTCATGTTTGGTAGTTGAATACTGAAATATAACACATGAAATCCAAAATAAGTCTATAATTTATATACAGTAAATGAATGTGATTAGTAAATCACTCACGAATTGCAATAAAATTCTAGTAGCAGCCATGGCAACACTGAAATAAGAAAAAAACGTATATAAGATCATGTACTTCTTGATCTCTCTCATCTTATGATTTTGTAAGAAATTATGTATAGTTTGTTCTAAGACAGTTCTTGAGATCATGTGGGTTGAAATCAGCTAGATACCGATTTCAACATGTGGAAATTTGGAAGTATAATATAAAATTATGTTATAAAGCTTAATATATATTATTCTGAGATAAAATAGAGTATAAGAATAGAACATCGTATATTTAAATATGTAAAAGTTAAAGATGGGAGACATCACACCGCGTGCGTACCCTAACAAACGTATTTTAATTTATTTTCCTTCTTTTTCTGATACGTCTAACTAACGTATCTTCTTCTCCGATAAGAAAATATTATCAAACAAATATTTTCTTTAATTATTTTGCTCAATCCTCAACCACAATAATTTTCAACTTGACAACAAAGCCCTGACCTTGTCCTTCCAAAATGTGAAATTCAAACCCCAGCTCACAAAATCCCAAGAGATCAGATCTTGCTGTTTCAGCATCATCAAAAGACAATCTCTTAAATCAATATTCTTTTAATCTGGACCACCAAAGCTTTTAGATGGACGATTTTCGAGAGAAGAGAAAACGGTGTACGAAACTGAGAGTAAGTACTGATAATAAGGATAGAGGCAAGATGATGCATAGAGAAATCGAGAGACAAAGAAGACAAGAAATGGCTTCTCTTTATGCTTCTCTTCGTTCCCTTCTCCCTCTTCACTTCATTCAGGTCACTACCTAATTCCTACAACCCTAATCTTGATTTTGATTCTGTATTATTCTTTTAGATCTGTAGGAAGTCTTTGTCATTTGGCTTGGTCTTCCATGTAAGAAAATGAAATGAGATCATCCCACGTGTTTTGACTTTGTGCTTTTGACTCCCATATCGTTGTTTTCTTAAGAGATTTCTAGTACTAGATCTATTAATTTCTTGGATTCTTTGTTTCTTGACGGGGTCCTTTTGCTTAGGGCAAGCGTTCCACATCTGATCAAGTGAATGAGGCTGCAAACTACATAACCTATCTACACAGGAAGATCAAGGAGCTGAGTTCGAAGAGAGATGAGCTAATGTTACTGTCTAGAGGAAGCTTCTCTGATGATTCTAAGGATGAGATGAAGATGGTGAATCACGTGGTGGTTCGTCACTGTTTGGCGGGTCTGGAAATAGTGTTTAGCAGCCGCTGCTGTGGTGGCCAACCACGGCTCTCAAGTGTTCTTCAAGTGCTTAGTGAAAATGGTCTCTCCCTTATTAACTCCACCTCCTCTATTGTTGATGATAGGGTTATTTACACCATACAAGCTGAGGTAAACTAATCATCCTACTCTTACTTGTTCCAGCTACGTTCAATTGTGTTTGCATTAATATGTTCCAATAATAAAAAACCAATGAACATTTTTTGGTTTACAACTAATATTTACTATACAAAGTGATTTACCTCTATCCCTTCACCCTTGTTTTCTTGTTCAGAGTTTATAAAAAGATGATCAAAACACTAAATTTTGTGATTTATTTAAAGATTAGCTCAATTTTATAACAAGTTGAAACATAAATATACAAATAATGTTGAGTTCAGCATAGTAATTACGAACATGTGAAAAAAACAAGCTAGGCCATCAATCAGATCGTAAACGTTATAAGAATATATATATATATATATATATATATATATATATTTCTATCTTGCCTTCTACTTGAGCATCAACTATATGAAAAGAAGAAATCATAACTACTATATATGTTCTTTTTTTGTGTGTATAGTGAGATACCCAATTATTAATGACAAATCAAACTTCAGTTTTGTTTTATTATGAATTTGAGCCATCCTCAAAGGAAATGGCTTCATGCCATGTTGTTAATCATATCTTTGTATATACTACTATAGTATACTGCATGAATAAGTTTTGATATGTTTGAAAGTACATATGGCTTGTTTTCTTTGCAGGTCAACGAATTGACCTTGATTGACTTCGGAAAACTTAAAGAGAGCTTAATCAGAATGAAGTAATAAAATGGTTGTTGAGAGTTGTTAATTTAACTTTTCAAGGAATGACTTAATAAGTACGTAGTTTATCTTTACTTGTATTATTGGGTTGTGTTAGCTTCACATTTTTTTGTATCATTGTATGTATTATTATTCCACGTAAGTCGGATGCGATTAAATTCTTTAGTTGTTTTTCTGGATCGAAAAGTCCGTTTTTCAGTAAGCGGGACTATATATTTTCATTTCTATAACTAAAGGATCCAGAAAAACGGACGTCGATGGACTGGTTTTGGGTAGCAATTTTCATTTCCAATTTTTCGATATGGCTTTAGGGTAGCAGGACTGGTTGATATTATACAGTACTTGGCGTAAGTTTGTTTCCTTATGCATGAATAATGTATAGTATCAACGTCTGAAGCGGTTGTGATTCCCTTTCTTTATTTTCCATAGTTCACAGAATCACACATCACTGATTGACAACTGCCACATTATAACCCATTAGTTTCAGAACAAATGAAGAAGCCATTGAAGAACTGCAATACAGCACTCTCATACGTATTTAAATTGCATAGGAATTTTGATAAAAAAAAATTGCCTAGGTTTTAGTCTATTTTTTTTATAACACTGGAACAAAAAGGATTTTATGGGATACAAAGATAGAGAACACATAAATGTCATTAGACACCAATTGAAAATAAGAAACGCCTCACCCAAGCTGGTTATTGCTGAGCCTCCAGAGCTAATAGATGAAGGAGCCAAACGGGTCCATTACGAGCGATGTACGACTGATGACGCAGATCTCGAATGACACTTTCCGCAATTGCCACTGCAGCTTCGTTGCGCGCTGGTAGAACATGATCTAAACTCCAAGAATCAATCTTTGCTAAGAGGAAAGATATGCTGTGGCGAATATGATTGAGGTTGGTGTATCCATCTGGTCTTGTGATTGCATCATGTAAGCATTCGGACGCTGTTTCGAAGATAATATTTGTGAAATGTAAGTTAGACAAACATTCGACTGCCCAAAAAAGTGCTCACAAGTCAGCCTCTGTTTTTGTCCGCATAAATGAATAAGCACGACGACTATGCATGATTGTACATCCATTTCCATCACGTAGAATCCATGAAACACCCGTAATGTGATTAGAGTTTATCCATGAAGATCCAACATTACACTTTAGGAAACCATTAGGAGGTTTTACCCAGCGAACCATTTCTAGAATAGCATCACCCTGTCCATTATTTGTGCTTGTGAATGTATCAAACAAGGTTGATTCATCGGTAAAATCTTTCTTAGCAACAAGACATGGATCAAAGACTCTAGATTCAAAAACAAAAGCATTCCTAGCTTTCCAGATTTCCCACATCAATCAGGAAAAACATTTCTTGTATGTATATCCGTAGAAGATCTTTTACTCATCTTGATCAAGTGCACAAAATTCAAAAATGTTGAATTAGTAGAGAACCCTCCTAAAGGCGCTGGAAAATTAGAAAGCTCCCAAGTGGTACGTGCTTTATCACATGTAAAAAGAACATGACAAATACTCTCAACCCCGTTACCACAATTTGGGCACGTTGGGTCAACCGGAATACCTCGAGTATTTAAACGCTGCTTGACAGCTAAAGCACCAGATAGAGCACCCCACATGAAATGTTTAATCTTTGGTGGGGCTTTGATCTTCCATAGTTCTCTCCACAATTGTTTTTCAATTGGAGACAAAGAATTTCCATTCGGATGATCCACATCCACCAAAACCTCAAGCAACTTATATCCACTACGAGTAGAATAAAAACCACTTGGTGTGAACCCCATCTGATAGAATCATCCATATCTATTGATGGTTTCAAAAGTATATATTATCCGTTGGACATCAAGTGGTGTAAAAGTCTGATTAAGCACATCTAGATCCCATTGATTCGACCCCTGCCTTAATAAGTCTGAAACTTTGAGTGATAGATTGATGGAGCTATTCTCACGGTACATCGGAGGCCGTGGTATAGAGTCAATAATCCAATTTTCCGCCCAAACATTCGTGTCCTGCCCATTGCCAATATGTCGATACAAACCCTTTTTGAGTAATTCTCTACCATGCATAATACTCCGCCATGCATATGATGGCCTTGTCCCCATTCCGCATTCCAAAAAATTTCCATTTTTTAAATATTTGCCTTTGAGAACTCGAGAAACCAAAGAATCAGGATTATTCCAGATTCGCCAAGCTTGTTTTCCAAGCAGAGCCTGATTAAAGCGACCAATATCATGAAACCCAAGACCCCCTTGTTCTTTAGGTTTACACAACATTTCCCAAGATACCCAAGGGATCTTTCTTTTTTTGTCCCCACTGCTCCACCAAAACTCTATAATAGCACTTGTAATTCGTTCACACAGGGCTTTTGGTAAACGAAACACAAACATGGCATATATTGGTAGTGCTAAAGCAACTGATTTTATTAATATTTCCTTTGTCCCCATCGACAAAGTTTTAGAATACCATTCTTGTAGCCTTCTTCTAATTTTTATTTAATAAAGTTGAGAAGATCTTTTTTGAAACCATGAAAACACTCAGGAAGGCCAAGATAGGAACCAGAACCACCTTCCTTTTCTATACCCATAACCTGTTTGATAGCCTGTTTTGTCTCAGTAGCTATGTTTTTCCCAAAAATGATAGAAGACTTTATAGGGTTAATCAATTGATCTGAGGCATCCCCATAGAGTTTCAACCCTTTCATAATTTCCTCACTATCTTTAACTGTAGCTTCACACAACAACATGCTATCATCCGAAAATAACAAATGGTGCACAGGAGGGCTCCCTGCAGCCAACTTTATACCATGAAATTTACCTTGTGCTTCAGATCTATTTAAAACATGAACCAAAGCTTCTGTACATAAAATAAAAAGAAAAGGGGATAAATGATCGCCCTGACGTATCCCTCTCTCCGGTCTAATAAACCCATGGGAGCACCCATTTAATAACACTGAGAAGGTGACAATATTAATAGATGCCATTATCCAAACCACCTATTTACGATCAAAACCCATTTTTTTCTAGTAGAACTTCCAGAAAGATCTATTCAACCCGATCGTAGGCTTTTGACATATCAGTCTTAATCGCCATACTTTCTTTTCCAATTTTGTCATTAGTCCACAGTCCATGCACCAATTCATGAGCAATCATTATATTATCTGTAATCAACCTGCCGCCCACAAAATCTCCTTGTGTGTCTGATATTATGCTAGGCAAAACTACCTTCAGTCGGTCACATAAAATACGAGAAATGATCTTGTATTGTACACTGCAAAGACTAATAGGCCGCATATCCTTCATCTCCGTAGGATGTAATATTTTTGGTAGCAGAGATAACTGGGTATGATTCCAACCAGCAGGAATAATACCTGTTTTGAAAAAATCTGCACATCCTCAATAATTTTCTGTTCTACAATGTGCCAATATTTTTGATAGAAGAAACCAGTAAGTCCATCTTCCCCAGTGGCGCTACTACTTTTAATCCCAAATGCAGCATTTCTGATATCATCAGGAGAAACCTCTCTAGTTAGCAACGTGTTCATTTCGGGGGTAACCCGACTCTCAAATTCATCAAACAGAGTTTCCAGATCAGTTGGATTTAAACTTGTAAATAAATCTCTAAAACATTCAGTGGCAATGTGTCCTTTTGACCCTTCAGAATAATGTTCATTACCAAAAATATCATACAACATTAAAATTTTATTTTTCACTCTTTTCCCTTTAACAACATTGTGAAAATAAGTTGTATTTCTATCTCCTTCCCGTAACCATTCTTCCCTACTTTTTTGCCTCCAAAAAATCTCTTCGTCTCGATAAGCCATAGCCAGATCCTGTCTCAACCTCCTGACTAAATCCTAAATTGGAAATTCTTTTGAACTCTCGTTGTCCAAGGCACACTGAAGCTTTTCAATCCTGGCCTTTGAATTTCATTCATTTGACTTTTTAAGTTTAGCCAATTCAGACCAGTATCATGCAATACGATCCATAACACTTAGATTTGAATCAATGTTCTCAATATCCCAACCACGAATAATAGCTTCGTCCACCCCTTTCTTACCATACATACATTTATCAAAGAAAAACCGTCCCATTGCAAATTCTGAGGTTCCAAAGCGAACACAATACGAAGAGGACGGTGATCCGACGGCCACATACTCATATAGTCAGTAGACGATTATGGAAATAGTCTAAACCAATTCTCATTTCCAAAGGTCCTATCCAGCTTACACTGGACCCAATTGTGATCCCGCATACCTGCCCATGACAAGGTATTACCCGTGGTCCTCATTTCCCTAATTTTACATGTTTCAGCCATGTCCCAAAAATCGAAAAATGTGGATTCATCCCTAGTGGCGCCGCCTAATTTTTCACCATTATGCATAAGTTCATTAAAATCTCCAACCAAAATCCATGCCTCATCCCTACTCACACCTATATCCGTTAATTTATCCCAAACATAACGCCTTCGTCCTCTTACTGGGTCTCCATACACACACGAGAGAAAAAATACGAGAGATCCCATTGTCATCCGAAGATCAATAATCCGACTATCGCTATAAATAATATCCACCACGTAGCAGCCTTTCCACATTAGTGCTAAACCCCCGCTACGGCCAATAGGTTCCACCGTGTGAAGACCGTCATACCCCATACTAGATTTTAGAACCTCCATATAAGCAATCTTTTGTTTAGTTTCCATAAGAAATAAAAAATCCGGAAAATACTGACGTCGTAAATCCCGAATACGTTGAACTGTATCCGAACCACCAGCACCCCGACAATTCCAACTCAGAATACTCATAAAATAAAATTTATTAAATAGGCTCCTGAGCACCTATATTAATAGAGGTTAATGAGCCCCTATCAATTGAATCCTCCCACTTGCTGGTCCCTCCAAGACAATCATGTGAGGAAGCAGCCCACTGTACCCTTATATGGTCCAAAATATTCCAGAAAGACCCAATGTTTACTGTCCTATATAAAAAGAAACATTTGAGCCACTGATATGTAACCAAATCTCGTCTCGGGGGAATCATATACTCCCACATCTTTGCAACCATGAAATCTGATACTGGTTGATTTTCACCCACACCACCATTTACAATTCTGAGCATTGTATACACCAAAAAATATCGTGAAACTCTTGTACACATGATCAAGCACAAGTGTTCTAACAGAACCGGTTTACTCATAATACTTGGTGTTGTTAGTATCGTATACCGATCTCGTAATCCCATTAGTAACCCAAATACCAGCTTTCTTTTACGTCTTGAAACGTGATGTGAGAAGCAAGACAAATATATGACTCCCACCATGGACATAATCTGTTTCCATCTTATCTCATACCTTGTTATGAAACATATATCCATAAACCCAGTCCCACCCCA